CCCCCTTACTCCCCCCCCCCGCCGCGAATTCCGTTTCACTTCAACCGCTGCGATCGAACCGCAAGCTTCTGGAATGCCTTGCGAGCACCTCTACGGTGTTGTCAGTGCCAGGGGCAGGGGGGGGCAGCACCGGTGGCGACAACGGCGGGAGCGCACACCCTAGCCTCCCTGGCGAGTATTGGTTCCTTGTGAGGGGGAGAACTCTTTCGAGCGTCATGGGCATCGTGGTGGGGACCCTCGGCGTCTGTGGGTCCCAGAGCCTCAACACGCACACCATCAGGTGGTACTTTGTGGGACTCGTCATGTGCGCGATCGTGGCGATGGCGATAAGAATAGAGGTGTTCTACGACACCGTCACGGGCAAGGTGGGTGGGTCTCGTGCTTGTTGCTGTTGCTGTTGCTGCTGCTGCTGCTGCTGCTGCTGCTGCTGCTGCTGTTGGTGGCGGTGGTTGTGGTTGTGGTTGCGATGGTCACATTGCTGTTTTTTTCTTGCCGTCGTTATGTTCGCCTTGGCTGTAGCATCGGTTTCGTTAACGTCAAGCACCGCCATACCTTCTACGACTCCGTGTTGCCCCCAGCCGAATTCGTAGATGAGGCAAGGCGCCTTCCTTCATTTGTCACACAGAAATGCGATTTAGTCGTTTTCGAGCTCGTGCTTCTCTCGAGAATTGCAGAGGGGCATGTTGGGAGGCTGCATCGTGCGAGAAGACAACTACACACGTTGTGTGTACCGCTGGACACGATTGCTGTGCTTTGCTACTGCTCGTGCACGAGCTCATGGTTCTCTCGAGACGTGCAGAGGACAACTACAGCTGATTGTTGTTGTTGTTGGTGGTGGTGTATTGAGATCGAACACGGATCTGTTCCGTGCTCGGAACCTTCTGACATCCGCACCGGTCCAGACGGACGCGGATGCCTTCCGTAGACATGGGCCAACTATTTCCGAAGACGGTACACAAACTACAAGATATCAAAGCACCCTTCTATTCGCCATCGTCGTGCCCGTTCTTGCCTGGCACGCGGGTGGTGCACCAGATCCCGTTCGGCGACTACGGGACAAACTCCCCAGACTCGTCGAGGGAGAACGATCCGGGAGAGGGAGGAGGCGGTGGGAGCGGGGGCGGGAGTGGCACGGGAGATGAGGGGGGGCCAGGGGCGCACCACGAGGCGGCGGAGGAAGCGCAGAGCAGTCTCGTCTTCATGGCCCTCAGCGCGTTCGTCTCGGTGAGTCCAGCAAGAGCAAGGGGTCGGAGTGTACCGGGACAGTTTTTTTTCGATGTCGCGGTTGTTCCGCCAAGGATGAAAAGAAAGGTGGTGGCACCGTTGAGAACTGGATGCGAGAAAAGGGTGTGGGATTTGCCCCAAGTGCAGCAATCGCTCGGACGTTTGAGCGGCTGAAAGGGGAGCAGGGGTTGTTTGTTTTGGTGTGCGGGGCCCGTGTTTCACTTCTAGCAACGGCCATCGCAAACAAGCTAGAGAACCTCGTTCCTCTGCCAGATCTTGTCATTTGAGAGCACGGGACAGAGAGTATATACGCCGAGAACCCCCCCCCCCCCCCCCCCCCCCCCCCCCCCCCCCCCCCCCCCCCCCCCCCCCCCCC